TTCCCTGATGATTAGTGACATTGAGCATTTTTTCATATGTTTATTGTCTATTTGTCTATCTTCTTCTGAAAAGCTTCTGTTCATGCCTATTTTTTAATGGGTTGTTTGATTTTTTTCTTGTTTATTTGCTTGAGTTCTTTTTAGATTCTGATTATTAGTCCTTCATCAAATGTATAGGTTGCAGATATTTTCTCCCATTTTGTAGGTTGTCTATTTGGGCTGTTAATTGTTTCCTTGGCTGTGCAGAAGCTTTTAAATTTAATTAAGTCCCATTTACTTATTTTTGTTGTTGCTGTGATAGCCTTTGGGTCTTCTTCATGAATTTTTTGCCCAGGCTGATATCTGATTTATTTCCTCAGTGTTTGTGTACTTCTATTGTGAGAGCTCTTTGACCTCTCTACTAAGTATATTTGTAAGTATTTTATTTTCTTTGTAGCTGTTGTAAATAGTATTGAAAACTTTGATTTGACTCTCAGCTTAACAATATTGATATGTAGAAATGCTACTGATTTGTGTACACTGATTTTGTAACCTGAGACTTTGCTGAATTTATTTATCAATTCCAGGAGTTTCTGGGTGGAGACTTTTGGTCTTCCAGAAGTGAGATCACTTCATTAGTGAAAAGCAATAGTTTGATCTTTATATTTTCTGATGCAAATACTCTTTATTTCTTCTCTTGCCTGATTGCTTTGGCTAGGACTTCCAGCACTATGTTGAATAGAAGTGATGAGGGGATGGGTATATACAACCAAAACAAGTAAGATGTACAACATCTGGGGGATGGACATGCTTAAAGTTCTTACTCAAGGGGGGGGGACATGGGCAATATATGTAACCTTAACACTTGTACCCTCATAATCACTAAATAAAAAATAAAAATAAAATAAAAGAAGTGATGGCAGTGGGCATGCTTATCTTGTACCATTTCTTAGGGGGAATGCTTACAACTTTTCCATTAAGGAGTGCTGCTGTGTGTTTTATTGTATATGGCCATTAAAATTTGATATCTGTTCCTTCTATGCCTAGTTTTTTGAGAATTTTTACCATGAAGAGAGTGCTGAATTTTTTGAATGCTTTTTGCATCTATTGAGATGATTCATAGGCCTTTGTTTGCTTCTGTTTATGTGGTGAATCACATTATTGATTCGTATGTTGAACTATCTTTCCCATACAAGTGCAGGAAAAGCAGGCAGATAATGAAGAGAGAGAGACGAGAGGAGAGAGAGAGAGAGAGAGAGAGAGAAAGAGAGACAAAGAGAAAGAGAATAAAATAGAGCCTGAAAACAGATATTATGGATGTAAGAATTAAGACTATAAGAAAGGGTAGCATTTCAAATTACTGGGGAAAATATATACTTAAATGCACATAAAAAAAATCAGAAATAGGAAAAGAAATACAGTGAGCAGCTATAAAATTTCTTATGGAGTGCTAGACCATATGAAGGAAAAAATTGTTAGAAATGACTGTCTAATGGTTTGCATTCTGGACAAGCAGAGAGTTAACATTTTACTTTTGTGTGTGTGTGTGTGTGAGACAGAGTCTCATTTTGTTGCCCAGGCATAAGTGAGTGCTGTGGCGTCAGCCTAGCTCACAGCAACCTCAAACTTCTGGGCTCAAACAATCCTGCTGCCTCAGCCTCCGAGTAGCTGAGGACTACAGGCATGCGCCAACATGCCTGGCTAATTTTTTCTATATATATAGTTGCCAATTAATTTCTTTCTATTTATAGTAGAGACAGGGTCTTGCTCTTGCTCAGGCTGGTTCGAACTCCTGACTCGAGTGATCCGCCCACCTCGGCTTCCCAGAGTGCTAGGATTACAGGCGTGAGCCACCGCACCCATATAATTGACCAAATAATTTACAAATGAAACATAAATAATGTGAAAAAGGGTTCAAATTCACTAGTAATTTAAGTAAAATTAAAAGCAGTAATGTGCCAATTTTTTTCATTACTGATATGACAAAATGGAAGAAAAAATAAAAGAACAAAAGGGAGAAGATAAGAAAGAGAAAGAGGGAAGGAGAAAATGGAAGGAAGGAAAGATGGAGGGATCCAAAGAGAGAAAGAAAGGCCAGGCAGGGTGGTGCACACCTGTAGTCCCAGCTACTGGGGAGGCTAAGGTGGGAAGGATCCAGAGAGTTTCAGACTGCTGTGAGCTATGATTACACCACTGTATTCCAGGGTGAGCAACAGAATAAGACCCTGTATCCAATAAACAAACAAATAAACAAACAACGACAGCAACAACAACAAAAAAAAAAAATGATGGAAGAGGAAAAGAAAGAAAGGGAAGATGATGAAGAGAAAATTCTTACCCATTGTTAGCCAAGGTATTAAAGGATGGACAATCTTATACAATGTTAAGAGCCATAGAAATTGACATAAGATGTCTATTGCAAAATTTTCCCAAACATAAAATATATCTCAAAAGCATGTATATATATTCAATGTATATATATTCATGTATATAAATTCAATAGGAATTTGGGCTGCAGTAATCAAGGTTTGTAAATATTTAATGCAAGAAGTAACAGCATTGGGTATATGGGAAAAAGTTGCAGGTAAACTAAATGACCAAGAAGTTAGTTAAGTAAATTGCAACATGTACATATGAATTGCAGTCTTTTAAAATAATACTGTTGAAGAATATGTTAAAATAATACTGTCCAAAGATGATCGATATATATCATTTAGTGGGAAAAGCATAGTATTAATATTAATATTGAATAATACATATTCCATTAGACAATGTATATTTGTATACTATGTATTTGAACTTGCTAACAGTGGTGTCTTAGTATGTTCAGGCTGCTACAACAAAATATAATAAAATGGCTTATAAATAACAGGAATTTATTTTTCACAGTTTTGGAGTCTGGGAAGTCTAAAATCAAGGTGCTAACAGATTTGATGTCTGGTGAAGGACCACTTCCTTGTTTGTAGATGACTGTTTTTTCACTATAAACTCTCATGGCAGAAGGGACAAAGGAGCTCTCTCAGGCCTCTTTTATAAGAGCTATAATCCCATTAATGGCACCTCTGCTCTTGTAATTTAATCACCTCCCAAGGAACCTACCTCCTAACACTATCACCTTTGGTATGAATTTTATGGGGCCGCAAATTTCAGACCATAGCAAGTGTTTACTACCAAATGGAACATTCTGTGTGATTTTTCTACTTTTCACTTATGTGTTTTCTATAAAATATTTACTACTCCACTTTTAAGCAAGAAAGTTGCCTTATGGGTTTCAGCAATTTGTTGACAGGAATTTTGCACATATACCTTTATTTTTTTAAAAAATCTTTCTCTTAGTTAACATTTTCTATACAAACATTCTAATCTGATTTTTATACCTCAAAATTTCTAAAAATTGGAATGAAATATTTCATCCAGGTATCTGCCACTAGAGCTATAATTGGAAGTATAAATATCTGTTTCTTACTAAAAAAAGGCATTTCATAGCTAATAATAATAGTGAATATTTATGCCATACACTTGTTTAAGAATTTTACACATATTTTCATAAGTTTATAAAATATAACTTTATATTATTCATTTAATATGATTTCTAATTGATAATTACTACAAAATTATAACTGCTCCTCCAGGAAAAATATAGATTCCCAAATGTTATAAAGTTACACTTGAGAGTAAAGGAACTATTAAAAAGGAAATTAGTTAAACAATAATGCTAACATTCAAAATACTACATGCATATTCACAATACTATCAATAATTAATTAGAACTACATTGAAAAATAAGACCAAAAAAAGAAACACCAGAGAAGGAATATACAGTCACACCATATCCTGATCCCCTTCCCCTTTCCTCACTAGTTGTTTCCATTCTAAAATTAGTACCTCCAAGATGAACATTTTACAGTTTGACAAAGTTTTCCATTGTCCTCAAAACCCCTATGCACTTCCAACTGCATGTTTTTTACAAGTTGTTTTCCTTGCCATCAGATTCAATGGCCTCTTTTCATTAATCTGCCTAGCAGCAAATAACTGTACACTTTCTTCCTGTAACCTTGGATAATACTATTAAATAAATTGAAGCTCAAAGAAGAAAATGACTGTAATGTCAGGTCCTTGGTTTGTAATAGATATAAATGGCAGCCATTTCTGAAATCTGAATATAGAGTGACTAGTCATTAGTACTAGAGGGTTAGCCTAACTTTCATTCTATATCATCAAATGAGCAGGATTTAACAAAAATCTCTCCCAAAATCTCACCAGATAATTTAATTTTTATTTTCTTATCATCTTCTATCCCAATAGGATTTATACATTCTTCCAGTAGAGAAGTTAGTAAATATTTCAACATCAAAGGCATTTTGGAGAAATGAATGAAAAAAAATCATTGACACAAAAAGTCACTGTGTCACTGAAAAATAGGCTAGGATGAAACAAAGCCTAAAACTTAAGAGAGATAGAAGATTGTTTCTCTTTTATGTAATAACTTGGAAATAGGAAGCCTAGGAATAATTTGGCGTTCATGTGGAATTTGGAACTGAGCCAGTTCTATCTGTCATATTACCGTGCATGGTTTCCATTTTTAAGACCATTCATTCATGGCCTCAGGAATGCTAGTGCTCTTGTCATTTTGTCTATATTTAGCCAGCAGGAGGGAAGGAAGGATACAAAAGGGACATTTCCTATTCTTTTAAGGCACTTCACAGAGTTTTCATTTTACTTCCACTCACATTTCGTTGGTTGAAGCTTACTCATTTGACTACACCTAATGTGAGAAAGGTGGAGAAATCTAGAGCAGACTGGGAGGATGGACATTAAGAGGCTACCAGCAGACTTTGCCACATTGCACTTCACACATATTCACACAATTTCACCCAAATTCAAGTGGTTTATGAAGCCCTCACCCTGAAGCCTATCCTAAAAATCTCTGTCACACAGATGCAATATCGAGAACCCCTGCTCACAAAATGAAATTTTTATAGTCTAGAATGCTGGGTTTATGACATCATCATCCTGTTGGGCTGCTCCCTTTACAGGGAGCTTTGACAAGAAGCAGCTCTATGGTGTTTACACAGAACACCTGTAGGTAACTTATGCTTATCCTCTGACTTTGACTATGGCAAGAATTTCAGCCGCACTAAAATGTGTTCTCATTTCTAGGAGAATATAGAATGTGTTTCACATGTGCCTGCCACCAAGTCCTCTCAGGTATTACCTAATGATTGCCACTTTTGTCCCTCCTGTTTTAGCCCTTTGGGGTGATTTCTTTTCCCAGAAATCACAATTTCAAGCATCTGCTATAAAAAGCTGTTTGAAGAGGCTTTTATTGCTGTGTTGGGAGCAAATGAATTTTTGTAGGGATTTGTGGGGCTGACCTAGGAAAAGGACATGACCTTGAGGTGACGGTAACACATATAACCTTTATTGGGGGATGCTTTCACCAGTTTGTAGGTGGGGGAAGTCCAGAGGTCATGGTGCAGAGATGAAGGACCTGTAGGGGTGTCACTCCTCAGGAGTGAGGAGGGAAAGGGAACTCCAGGGAAGAGGGGGATCAGAGAGAGGGCTCACATGTCTAGGTGATGCTGCACGACAAGACCGTAGGAAGTCTCTGGACCAGAGAAACTGAAGGGTGGCAGCATCTTGAGGCCTTAAAACTGCAAGGCCCCATCTTATCAATAAGCAACAGCTGTCAGGTGAGGCTTCATGGAGTGTGTGAAACAAGCAGGTTATAAATGGCTAAAAATTTGCTTGTTTGGGCTATTTTGAAAATAATTAGATGTGTAAAAATTTGAGTTTGGCACCTGTGGACTTTTGAGCTCACAGTGTCCCATCTTGTATGGAAGAAATAACTTAGGACCAATACTCAGAGGCCACTTTTTGCTCGTTTATACACTTCCCAACCTCGCATTAGATGCCGCCTCTATTTCTGAGAACGAAGCTTGCTGCCCAGGAGCGGTTAGTGAACTAAAAGTCTCCAAGTGTCCAAATGGAAGGAGAATTCTTCAGAGTTCTCATTCTATTCATGTCCCTTGGTACTCTGAATGACAATGGGGAGGATACTGATGAGTAGAGACTATGCATGGCCTGAATGTACCAAGTTCAGTCTGGAGCCAGAGTCACAAGGGCTGGTGGGAGTTGCAGCCCCCGTCTCTGAATGCCCTACAGAGACACATGCAGGGCTGGGAGGCCCATGATTATGTGCATTGTGATTTTGCACAGGAGAGGAACTCTGCTCCCTGCTACTTTTCCTTTTTGCAGTCGCTCTGACAGAGCATGTGGAAAGGAAATTCTTAGCAGCAGGCTGCAATCCATTCTCTGACTTTATGGGGAAATGCCTCAAAAAAGAAAGATGAATGTTAAACTCGGTATCATGTTCACTATACTAAACAATGGCATCTGATAAAGCTAAAGTGTAAGGATGAATTTCAAGAGAAGTTGATTAAACGCCTAATGGTTTGAAGATAAGGTGTTTCACCCGCGTTTCTGAACCATTTCCGGAACCCGTGAAGTGAATGCTAAAGCTGACCATCCAGACCTGAGAAGGAGCAAAATGGTTTGATAAAGATAAGATTGATATGCCTGCAATATGAAATCTACATTACAGTGAATTAAATGGCATGAGAAGCTTGCATATATTGCCAGATTGATAATAATGTCCTGATCTGCTTTATGAAAATACTTCTATCAATTTTCTTTGAGATTTACAGATTATCTTTTCCCTGAGATGCATAGAGCTTTCTGACAATTTAGTCTCCCGTCTTGAGTACATGATGATATAATTATTTTTAAAATGTTTTCTCCCTTTACAGATAATAGTATGTTGATTCTGCCACAATCTATTTGCTGATTCTGAATTTAGATACACTCCGTTGGAAAATAGACATCTATCTAGGATTTAAATTGTACCCTTATTTCCTTTATCTGGAGATATGAAGACTTGTATAACCTTGGAGACTAACAGGGGCCTGAAATTTTTAAGAGTAATGAGTGGGGAAGGAAATGGTTATTCTGAGAGATACACACAGATGTATTTCTAATAATCTCCTTAGAAGAAAAGAGGATACCCTCATTTTTCTGCACATTCAAAGGAAGTACAAGGGTGTCTTGACCTCCTGTCTTATATCAGGCCAAAATAGAAGTGTCATGGTAATAAGTAGATAGAGTTGCAATGCAATATGGACTAGAAAAGCAAAGTATAGCATTTAGGTGACATCATTGGTTGGTATTAGATAATATATATTTCAGTTTGCATGGATATTATTTTCAAATGTCATTGCTATGCTGCCAGTAACTTTTCAAGTGCTTAAATAGTTTCCTAAATTTATTCTGACATTTCTGTTTTCTACTTTTCTATTCATGTAGGTAGATTACTTGGTATGGGACTATTTTTAAATAAGTACATATAGAAATACCATTCATCAGAAATAATCTTTGGCCAAATCTTCCTGCCAAAAAGTGCCATGATTTCAATCATTTAGATAATCCTCCAAGCTTATTTTAATACATATTGCCTCAGTAAATTCTAGTTAAAGTACTATTCCACACACTAGCCTGTGTACTTTTTGATGTCAGGCAGCATATTCTCTGAATCTTCCCAATCTGAACACTTAGCGTAGTGCCTGGCCTTTAGTAATATTTGATAAACATAATATCACATGTAAGATTGGAAAAACAAATGATTAGTGCTAGTGCCATTGCAATATGGATCTTCTTCTATGCTGTTGACATGGAACAGAGGCTGGCAAAATATTTACTAGATGAATGAATGAGATTGCATAACTTATGTGTATATTTCTGAAGTTAAATTCTAATTTCAAAGCACTTTGGTCTTAGAAGTTTTCAATATTTCTATAACCAAGATTGACAGTTGAAATTTTCAAAGAAATATAATTTACTGGAGAAAGGTAAGGAGAAACCTGCTCACATCAATTTAAAAACCTCAAATTACATAGGTTCTCAGTATCTGCTGTCACTGGATGAAAAATAATATATACAAACTTCAGGTTCATGAGTAAGTGGTGAGAATATGAATTACAAAAATTTCAAATAAATGATACTCCAGACTTCCAGATGTCACAGAAAAATGGTAGTCAATTAGTCTAGTAGTGTCATCCTTTAGCTCAATGTTAGTAATTAAAGTTGCAGTGGTCCACTGTATTGAAGCAGAGCCATGACCTCAGACAAATTTTCTCTGGACTTGAAGTCACTCTAGCAGTGAATTGTAAGTGATATTTCTTATGTATAAAGTCTGTGTTGTAATGAAAGCATTTCCCAGACCCTGCATGGCATTGACCTTTTTTGTTAGGAAGAGAATTATCAAAGATACTGCTTTAAACCAATGTTTGCGTTCAGCTAGTCAGTCTAAGAAAAGATCATAGTGGACAAAAGTACTGAAAATAATGATTAATGTCTTTTAAAATATTTCTGGTGTTGCTTTATTTTCCCTATCTTAAGTACTATATAACAAAGTATCAGCTGTGTTTGTTTTCCTTTCTACATTTAGCTACCTATCTTTAATATCATCTTTATAATTTTGTACACAGAAAAGCTAATCTCAGAAACATGTGTTCCATTTCTATATATCCCTAGCACTGCTCCTCATGTCATGAATTGTGCAGAAACTAGGGTGTGAGTATAAATTCTACCAAGTAATATAAGAAATAAACTTTTGGAACAGCATGTATTCATTGATGCATTCAGTTGTTCATTAACAGCTATTAGTGTTCCAGACCTTGTGTTGGTGGTAGTGTTACAATGATGAGAAGCTGTAGAACAGAGCTCTGTGATGGCAGTTGTGATGAGTATCACAGAAGAGAGAGTCTTTGCTGCCATGAACACAGATAATAGGAATTGACCTAACAGAGAAGACTTCATCGAGAAGTGGAAAAAACAAGACAAATATCATAGAGTTTACATAAGCATGGAGGTGGTAGGAAGAACATTCCAGTAGTGGGAAGAAGGAAGGACATATTCCCCATTATAGAAGGAATATCTCATTGTCAAGGAACTGGAGGGAGATCTCTGTAGCTGAAGCTGAGAGAATATGGGGAGGGGGCAAGACTGCTAGCTGCTCTGCTCACAAACTAAATCATACTTTTTAGTCATTTTTGGTATTAATTTTGGTATTGTGGCTGGAACTAGTCAATGGAATGTGAGTGTATATAATCTGTACTATTTCCAGGTCAAAGATTTTAAGAAGTTGTAGCTGTTCAGGTTCTTTTTCTCCTTCTGCTGTTTGGGTGAAGGTGATGACAAGACTTTGGGACTGGTAGACATAGAAGAGAAAAGAGACCCAAGACTCTAAATTAATGAATTGAGAAGAAAGGCTAGCCTATCAGAATACCCACCTTGAACAAGAGAGAAATATGTTTCTGCTATCCTTGATACCTTATACATTTTAGTGTTTATGTATTACTGTAATTTAGCCTCATAGAACTAATACAGAAATTTGCAGATTGAAGTGGGGTATTGCTATGACAAAACTTTAATATATGACAATATATTGAATGGCAATCAATGATGTATTTTGCCAGAAAACTAGAGACTTACATGTTATGCAGTGGCAAAATATATGGTTAAAATGTTGCCTGCAATAACTAAGAAAACAGACTATGTCCCTACTGAGCCTCTAACTTTAGGGGAAACTATTGAAAGGAATCAAATTTTAGTGCTTGCTCTTGGCTTCTTGATGCTTATAATAAGGTAGAAAAAGAAGTAGATTAGCTCAAACAAGGAATTTCTGGTTTTCAAAGAGAAATAAAGGGAAATATAAAGAGTCCAGAAATTTGGAGGCTGACAAGGTTTGACTGCTTCTGATAGCCCCAAAGAGTAAGAGATAAGACTAGAAGTTTAAGCAGCAAAGGTCCACTAAAAGTTTTCAGTTTTACAAAGGAAGTCAGCTCTGTGATAAGTGTAGAAAAAGAATATAGCCTTCTGAGCCATGCCTATTATTATTTTTTTTTCAATCTTTCATTTTTTTTTTACTTTTATTTTATCATATTATGGAGGTACAAATCTTGTTAGGGTTATATATATTGCCCCTGCCATTCCTCCCCCTACCCTTCCCAAACCTTACCAAAACATCAAGCATGTCCTACCCTCAGGTGGTGCGCATCGCGCCTATTTTGTAAGTATATATCCTTCCCTTCTTCCCCCCTCCCATCTGCCCACCACCCAATAAAAGTTTTTTTTTTCTTTTTTTGACCTTT